CTTTCCCTCTTGCTTTCTTTCTCTGTTTCTGTCTGGTGAATGCACACTATAGCAAAAAATAAAACAAAACAAAACACCAAAGCAAAACAGAAAAAGAAAATAAAAAGGCTGGGAGTTAGAGTGTTTTGTGAGGTTCCTCCTCTTTTCTCACTATCTATACAGCCCACAGTTCAGCCCACTGGCTTCTTTGTCTAGTCTTGGTACCATTCCAGATCGTATCTGAGGATGGCCATACAAGCTGTTTCCGGAATAGGACCTTTCCCCTCCACATGTCGGGAAGGCTCAGGCTGATTTTCCATCTGTAACTCAGGATGAGCTCAATATGGGGCCTCCGGTCTCCGCTCATCTCTGCAATGTGGGTATCTCAGCCTGACCCCTAATCTACCCCATCACACCCACAGGGGGCTATCCAAGCAGCTAACAATAACCACATGCCAGTAAGGGACCATTCCAGCACCTTGGGAGCTGGAGGGTTATCTCCTACCTCTTCAGATCCTCATTCACAGAACCAAACGTTTTGTGGAGGTTCTTTCCTCCTATGAAAAGTAGGTTGACCAGAGATGCAGGGAGTTGGGGAAACACACACGAGGCATTGATGTCATGTTGTTTATTGGCTGGGTGTAGTGGGAACTCACAGAGGTCTTAGTAGGCTCACAACGCCCATAGCAGTGCTCACAAGTGCTTCCTCCCTCTTGGAGCTCATAGCATTTGGAGCAGAGCTGAGCCATTGGGGCTCACCAGCCTAAACCAGCAGAACCAGCTAACTGGGCAGTACAGGGTAGGGCAGGACTGGCTGACAAGGTGCCCCTTTTTCTCTTAAAGGGTTATAGACAATAGTGGCTCATTGCTAAAACTGAACTGTCACACACACACACACACACGTGTGTTACATTCAGTGGCTTAAACAGCAAAGTCGTAATTGCATAATAAGCATGCAAGGACAGTACATAAGTTGCTTACCCTATGGCCTTCAAGATAGGAGGTGAGGGAGCCAGACTAAACCATTAGGACTCCATTTGCAATACATGGGGGCCTGCAGGTGCTGTGGTGGTTAATGCACTACATTCCACATGGCTCACTCCTTGTGGTTCTAGATGCAGTGGCTTGAAAAACATGCCCTGTGGCAAAAATCAAAAAATAAAAAAACCAAAAAACAAAAAAAAGAATGTTTAGGAGTGGGGGGGTCAGAGATTATAAGGAAGGAAGTATGAGATGCCATCTCAGTCAAGACAATTGGCATAAGGATTTCTTCTGGTAGGGGAGAGTTGTGAAATTTTGGCCTCTGGCAATTCTGGGTTTAACCCTCCATGCCTCCCACACACATTTTTGCCCTAGGCCTTTTCTCTTTGTTCCTCACTCCTCTTGGGCTCCTGGCAGTGGGAACCCTCAGTGTTTGAAACTACTAGGTGAAACGTTTCTCCTCATAGCAAGGTAAGAACCCTTTGCCAAGTGCCTTCTGAAAACTCAGGCCTGAGACCTGACTGGCTCATCTGCTCCTCACTGGACACCCACAGTGAGCCAGGGACCAGGCTAGTTGCTGTGACGCGGACAGTTACTGGGGAGAAAGGGAAGAAAAGGAAGCCCGCACAGTCACGTCATTACACGTTGACCAGTCCTCCAAAAGAGAAGTGCTGACAGAGGAACCAGACTCAATTCCTCACCTAGGGAAGAGATACAGTGCAGACCTAGTCAGTTACTGATGATTCAGAGGTGGGCTGGCTTCTTGCTGTCAGGAGAGGCAGGTGTTTACGGTGCCTGGGAGGTTTCCAGCTAGGTACCAAACACATAGAGCCAGCAAGTACTGGGTGCTTTAAAGGAGCTCTTTGTTTGTAATTTAATTTTTTAAAGTTTATTTAGGGGCCAGCAGGTGGCATGGTGGTTGAGGCACTGGACTCCCACATGGCCACATGGTTCAAGTCTCGAACCTGTGGCTTGCTTTCTCACTTTCCTGCTTTCTGTCTCTCTCTGGTGAGCATGCATGCCCTATAGAAAATTTAAAAATAATACTAATAAATAAAATTAAACATGGGACCAGCAGATGGCATAATGGTTACATTGCTGGACTTCCATGTAGTCAACTGCAGTTTGAGTCCCGGACCCAGTGGCTTAAAACTCACTCTGGGCACATGTGCGTGCATGCCCAAAATCCCAGGAAGAGAGTGGAAGAGAAGGGATTGTGGCATGGCCATCCCCTCTGGGTGGGTGATTTCTCACTTTCTGTCTCTCTGTCTGTCTCTCTGGCAAGCGCATGCGCCCTATAGCTAAATCCTCTCCAAATAAAGACAAAAAAGAAGAATGATTTGGTTTATGTAT